GATTTGGCTCTCTGAAGTATTTAAAACATTATCTATATACAGATCTGAAAATAATTTGGATTATCAAAATAATTGTGTTGGATCTCGAGCATGATAAGCAATATTGCAACAAGTTTTGATATTCTAGCAACCAGTTTGAGCATCCTACATAATTATTTTAATGTTCTAAACAAAATTATTTTCAGATGTGTATCCATTAATATATAATAGCTAAATTTTTAGATAGTTTAGCAAAACTATTCTTTCTGTGTAGATGATTTGCTAACGGAATTCCCCATTAAAATTCCATTAAAACAAACTACTGGAATAAAAACAAGATTATATGATATTATAGCTATGTACACACATTAAACTTTTCGATACGAATATTACGAACTTAAACTGCTATAGTAATTAGAAAAATCAAACAGGTTTATGATAATAAAGAAGTTTTCTCAAGTTCCGAAGAAGATTGAGGGATCGCTGTCTCCGCTGAGATTCGTCTAAGGATGATAATCTCCGAGTAACTCCCCTTGATCGAGAGATCTTCATGCGATCTCGAGTCTCCCATGTATTTGAATGACGGCGTGAGAATTCAAACCGGCTGGCCGATGGTGATACTTGTACTACGACCTGTACAATGGGATCTCGCGCGAATCTCATCTTAGACGATATAGCTATGACGAGACAAGTCCAGCCAGGCAAATAAACCAGACAGATAAACCGGCCGTCCTTCCGTGCGCGCAGTGAAATTTAAATAACCGCTCCCGGTTACACCCCGTCGCTGTTCCCTTCACAAAACTTTCATATCGCATTCTCGTGCGATTCGACCTTTCGTTTAAGAGACGGCAACAACGACAACGATATATCCATCCTATCGGAGTAAAAGGGAGGGAGATAGCTCGAAGAGCCCCTATGGCCTCGATACGCGAATGCCCGTGAGAGAGAAGTGCTTGCCTTCCCTTCTTCGCTGCTCCTCAAGTAGTATTACGTACGCTAGCATCATGTTAGTTGTCTTGTCATCGTCATCATCATCATTATCATCATCCACATTTCGCCTACGCATGTCGGTCTTCTCGCCACGTGACTAGAACGTCTTTATCGATTCGACTTGTCATTTCGCTGCCGTTTCTCAAACTCATGATGAAAAAATATCAGGTGTACAATTATTCAAATTTTTGTAATTAGGAATTAGTATTCAATCGTATTATTATGCACAATATTATATACACTTTGTATTCTTACATCACATCTAAATTAGAAATTGATTCTTCTTCTTCTTTTTCTTCTTTTTTTTCTCGTAGATTTCAAACTCAACTTGAGTCTCAATATGATGTAATAAACTTGAGAGAGTGGACTTCAAAGTCCATCCAGTTTGTGTGTTTTGTTGCAATACAGAAGTCTTTTCTTAAAAGGAAGTCTCAATAATGCCACCTCCAGTCCAATCCCCTCAACTAGAGATTCTATCAGATTAGACATCAGAGAATGTCATTTATTTTCGAGAAAGGAAGAGATATGTGTTATATTGTTCCGATTAATGCAAATGCTAAGAAATGGTAGATCAATCAAGCACTCTGATATCCAATCACTGTAACTTAAAGTTCTTTAATCCAATTATGGATTACAATGACATTATGTATCCGCAATTGTTGTGTTACACCGTTCGTACACTGAGAAAAAAACATAATTAATTTTAATAAATATATTAAATATATATTTTAGTTCAATACTGCCAACTAAACATTTACTTACAGTAAGTAAATATTTGTTCAATAAAAAAATGATTGTTAAATCAAATTAACATTTCTCGTATAAAAAATAAATATATCTTTATATTTAATAAATATTTAATTGGCAGTATTCAACTAAATATTTATTAAAATTAACTATATTTTTTTCAGTGTAAAAATTATGCAAGAAAAGAGAAAAAGATATTTCATATGCGTAATACGCGGAGAAAGGGAGGAGAGTAGAACAACGCAGGGTGAGGGAGGAATGAGAAACGAGAGTCGGAGGGGCGGTATACGCAAAGGTTGCGAAATGATCAGTTACGCTTGATCGAGTTCGATGAAATTAATTTGCGAAAAAATCACGCAGATCTCTCTTGCGTCAATTCTATGGCAATCATTGAGTTTTACTCAAATTTACTTCTAATT